TTAGGTCCCTTGTCTTCTTTTCCCTTGCTCTAGATAGTTTATAGATATCCAACTCTCCTTCTTTTTGGTATCTAGTCGTTTATACATATCGTCGTAAGCCGCTAACTTAGCTTCTCTGACAGCTTTTTTCGCCTCTTGCTTCGCTTTTCTATACTTTTCACCATTTTCATCGGTCCTCTCCTTGTATAAGGCTTTACAACATTCCTTCTTAGCCTTCACCTTTGTTTGTACCTCCTCATTCCACCACCAAGATTCCTTTTGGTGTGGGGCAAAGCCCTTGGACTCTCCTAATACCTCTTTTGCTACTTTTCGGATACAACTAGCCATGGAATCCCACATTTGGCTAGCTTCCCCCTCTCTATCCCACACACATTGGGTGATTACCTTCTCTTTGAAAATGACTTGTTTTTCTTCTTTTAGATTCCACCATCTAGTCCTTGGGCACTTCCAAGTCTTGTTCTTTTGTCTTACTCTTTTGATATGTACATCCATCACCAACAAGCGATGTTGATTAGCCACGCTCTCTCTCCTGGTATAACTTTGCAATCCTTACAAGTTATACGATCCCCTTTCCTCATTAGAAGAAAATCTATTTGTGTTTTTTGACGACCCACTCTTGTAGGTGATCACATGTTCTTCTCTCTTCTTAAAGAAGGTGTTGGCTAAGAAGAGATCATATGCCATTGCAAAATCCAAGATAGCTTCCCCATCCTCGTTTCTCTCCCCAAAACCATGGCCACCATGAAAACCTCCATAGTTGCCTGTCTCCCTGCCCACGTGTCCATTTAAATCTCCTCCTATAAATAACTTCTCCGTCTGAGCAATTCCTTGCACCAAGTCTACAAGATCTTCCCAAAATTTCTCCTTCGAACTCGTATCCAACCCTACTTGAGGTGCGTACGCACTAATCACATTGATAAGTTCTTGTCCTATTACAATCTTGATTGCCATGATTCTATCTCCTACCTCTTGACATCTACAACATCTTGTACCAAGGTCTTGTCCACGATGATGCCAACACCGTTTCTCGTTCTATTTGTGCCCGAATACCAAAGTTTAAACCCTGAGTTTTCTAGATCCTTTGCCTTACTACCAACCCACTTAGTTTCTTGTAGGCACATAATATTTATCCTTCTCCTCACCATAACTTCCACTACTTCCATAGATTTTCCCGTTAAGGTTCCTATATTCCACGTTCCTAAACGCATTTTGCTCTCTTGAACTCTACCCTTCTGTCCTAGCTTCTTCACCCTCCCCCGTCTAATAGGATCAAAGTACTTCTTTTGTGTGTCCCGGGTAAAGTTGATAGGAGCATATGCTCCCAAACAACTTTGAGTGGAGTCGTTCGAAAAGAAGTTTCTATGGCCCCCTTGCTCATTTAACACTGCATCCGGGTGCCGATGGAGATGCAGCGACCCTTGCTCACTTATCACTGTGCTCAGGCCACACAGCGCGCCACTTACGGGTGACGCCCTAGCTTTAGCGCGATTTTGTTCTGGATTCATTTTCATAAGGATTCGACGTGATCATGGAGTGCCGGCTGTCGACTACCTGACGCCCTCCCCCTCCTCCTTTATCCGGGCTTGGGACCGGCCATGTAAGACATAGGCGGAGTTTGTGTCAGGATTCTGATAAGTTGAAAATTTTAAGAGTTTAAGTTTCCTTATTCTTGCTTCTGACACTTTCTTGTTTTAGTGTTCTAGGTACTGGATCTAAAAAAGCTTTTAAGATAACGTGAATAACAAGTTCCAAAGTTTTTGTATGAACTTTTGAACTTGCACATTAAGTTTATATAGTTCTCTCGTTATGTTTTTGTCTTCTTTTCTTTTCTTTTTTTGAGTATTACTATTAGAACTTCAACTTAGTGCTCAGTTGATTTTAAGAGGATTGTACATCTTCTTTATGTTCATGAAATGTGCAATGTGTACCCCCATTTAGGTATAGGAAATTCAATATCAAATAACACCATGAAAACTATATGTAATTATTTAAAAGGATTTAGAGCAACACATATGTGCTGCCCCTCAGGGAAACTCGAATTCCAACTTATGCATTGCTTCACTTGGTGGTGTCCAATGTTTCCAATATTTAAGCAGTAATGCAACCAAAACTTCAAAAGTCGCACAGGCATAGACTACAGTTAGCCTATCTCAACAAAGAGTATAATTGGTTTTTCAGTTCTGTAGATGGAAGACTCAAAGAAGGGTACCTTTAGGTTCCGGTAACAATAAAGCTACAATTAGGTTCCAGTAACAATAAAGCTATATCAGATATTTATTCAAACGTGTTCTTTATCCCTTGGAAGGGTAGGGAGGGAGGAGTAAAATTAAAACCCTAATAGTATCAACATGATATCGCTCCCAAAGTCCCACCAATAAGATCTTAACAATAGCATGGATTCTTTCACCTTCGCGAGTGTCACTACTATGGTTTTAACAATGAAGATGACCTCAATCAGAATAACCACAAAGTTGCAATGTTGACAGAACGAAAAGATCAAATTCCTAAATTTTCTCAGTCCACATATCTTTTCAGCAGCTATTACACAGTAAGAAAATCGTCTTGGTTCTCATGATTTAACTACTAAGTGCTCGAACCCATTGGAGTCACAAAGCCTAAAAGAAACCTAATTTGAGACTGATATTAAACATGGAGTTCTCAACCGAAATTGAACAGTGTGTTGGAATTGGCATAAAATCAATATGTGCCTAATCTAAAACAAGTATCAATATAGGATATAAAGATGTACGTTTTTTGGGTTCATCTGGACGCAAGCTAACTATAAGCGTGATATCCTATTTTGTTAAGGATATTGTTTTAGTCTAGGATTTGGTTTCCTATGTATTGTCGGATTTGGTTTCCTACTAGGTTTTGGCTGTAACCTATGTCATCTATTAGTCTAAACAGACGATCATCGGAGCAGTTTTAAACAGAAGATTGTGAGGCATTCATTGTGTACTTGAGAGCTATTGTGAATTTGTGAGTTCTCATGTATTTGATTGGTGATTAACAAAAGGTTCCATTGGTAGAGAGGCACTCCTGTTTGCATTCGAGAAAACAATCTCTTTGCAAAGCAACGCGAGCAGAGAGCCTTGTTGGCTTGGGGTCGCCTTTGGTAGAGAGATACTCCTATCGGAGGAAATTGTTTTGTGTTGTTTGCAATTTCGTTTATCGCTTGGTTTGGTTTTCGGTTTAAGGAATAACACAAAGCTCAGGGTAATACACAGATTCAACAAAACAAACCCCATCCCATCAAGCAAATCACTTTTCGGTTTCAATTGTACTATTTATTGATTGACAGCAACTTTTAGCACCTCAAATCTTGAAAATACAAAGTTGAGCACATAAATCAGAGAACTAGAATACACATTCCAACGGAAACAAATCCAAAAACTCAAAAAAACAAATTAACGAAACAAAAGAAAGTGAAAAAAATTAACATAAAAAAAAAAAAAAAGAAGTAGAAGAAGAAAACGGAGAGGTACCTGCGGAGCCAATTGAGGAAGGAATCCAGCAAACCCATTTTTCGAAACAACAGAGGAATGGAGAATTTGATGTTAAGAAAAGCAAGCAAACGGGAAGGAGGAGGAAAAAGAAGCAGAGGAAGGAAACCAACAAGAAAGGAAACTTGGAAACTTGGGCGGACTCTGATGATTCCTTTGTTTTATCAATCCTTCTGTTTTTCAGCTTCCCTCTCTTGTGGTGACCGACCGCTGCTCCCCTGTTTTTTTTTTTTTTTTTTTTTCTCACTTTTCTTAATTTATTATTATTATTTTTTGGAAACTGACCGAACCGACTGATCCAAACTGACCGAACCGACTGATCCGAACCATTTTAGTTGGTTTTGTTTGATTTTGATAAAGACAAAAGCTAAACAATTTAAAAACTAAGCGCTAGGAGTGCATTTTTGGAAAATGATACTTTTCCTAGGGATCCTCCTGTGATCATTATCTTTTATTGTATATCGTGCGATCAGTTTTTGTTAGGTAATATTTATATTTAATTTTAAATTTTAAATTTTAAAATAATTTTTGACCGCACAATATACGGTCACGATCACGATCACTGGTTGGAGGGAAACTCTTATGGGTTCTTGACGGTATAACGTTGACCGGTGCTCAGTAATTTCGGGATTGATCAAGTATAGTACAAACATATTAGTGTTTGCACCTAGCCATGCTTCTAGTTTTCTAGGCATGGGTATCTGTTGCTTATCTGTCACGTGTGGCCCAAGAATGTGTTGATTTTCTAATTGCACATACTGGTGCGAGGTTGTATAAATAATATAGGTATGCGAAGTTGAAAGATTGGAATTGAATTGGAAGAACTAAGGACTACATGTGCAATGGGATTTTGTACAGAATATCAAAGCATAGCTGATAAAAATAGTAATCCCAAGTGTCAACACAAAGTCAAGTTGTACCTTTGGGCCTTGTGGTGTAGCCTGTAGGTATATAAACCTCTTAAATATTGAGATTTTTACAATTTGAATACCTTAATTTGGGGGATTTCAAACCCGCATTTTACTGTAGTTAATGATGATTGGGGCAATAATGTAATCTTGGATTTGTCAAATGGTTAGAAGGACCTAATCTAAGAAAAAGAAAATTACTGAAGTTTTGTCTAAATTAATGTGGATGATAATTATGTTGAGCCTGCCAGACCATTATTTGGCTTAAGGTCATCAGGCAGGCCAAATGTAGCCCCCCTCCTAAGCACTTTTTTGGAACCTAACTCCTCAGTTGCAATAATTAATTCAAATTCAATGACTGTATTTAAAAAAAAGTTCAACCGCAGTTTAACTAAATTACCAATAAATTTAAAGTATAAATTAAAACTAATAAATTAGCACACGAGTATGGCCTCATTAATGATTTGTTGCAGGGTTATAATTCTGGACGGGGCTATGTTAAGCCCTTTCAGTTGGAGATGACCTAATAAGTTTTCACCTAAATCTAGCAAGTGTGTGTTGGTTATGCCGAGTTCCCACCATCGAAACACAACGCAAAGATAACAAATTCACATGCAGGGAAAATAATCGTAACTTGTCATCGTTATGAAACCCTAACGAAATCTTGGACCAACTTCTTTGGTACGGAAGTAAAGGTTACACATAAAAGAGTAAATTACAGCAAACTCTCCTGGATACAACTTTCAGCCCGCTCGAGTTGTTTCTCCTATTTCATATAATCTTTATCATCTTCGTCATCTTCCCCACTTGTCTCCTGTCTCGATAGAATCATACAGAATGTTGTGAATAATCTACCAAACAAATTTGGCTCGTAACTAAAACCAAGCAATTAAGGTCTTGGTCGGCATTCAATCTTTTATTTTCGTTTGACAAAACATATTTCTAAGCAATATGATCGGAAGTTAGGATGGTGTGTTACCTCGCTGTTCGATTCGTCTTCATCCGGTGAAAAACCGTAGTCTTCTGCATCTGCATCAGAGGCCGAACCATTTTCCTCTTCTACGGGTCCAACACCATCGCACTCCTCGTCTCTGAGTCATATAATTAAAAAGAAATCATATAAACTAATGGCATTGAAAAAATAGGGAAGAAGAAAAAGAAACGCGACGAAAGAACAAAGGAACTTACTTTGCAAAGCTGTACCTAATATGGAAACTAGCCCCGCCGATGTCCACATCACATGCCGTTGAATGCAAGGTCTCGATATAGCTTCCTCCTCCACTTGCAACGACGATTCGGAACGTGGTGACCCACAGTGGTTGACAATCACTTCTGCAGCTCTCCATGGCAGTCTGGACAAGGCAAAAGTCTGAACCCCCCAGGTGAACGAAATAATCCGTTCGCCTTCTAGTAGGGTCGCAATGCACAGACTCTGTGTGGCATTTCAAACCTGGCAACGTCAATGGCCTGCTCACCGAATAGGTAGTAGAATTGAAGTTGAACTCTATAACGTCGCCATATCTGTTGGACGAGGCATAGATGCTATCGCCCACAACCACGGCCCTCCCCCGGAAAGGATAACCGCACCGGTCACGACGAGGTACTTCTGACTTTACAGGGTACCATTTTTCTCGAGTTACGTGAAATGCCATGAATCTAAATCCTTTGCTGCCATATAATGAAACCAAAATATAACCGCAGCATACGGCATAACCAACTATCTCCTCACAATACACAGGTTTGGAGGGTAGAATTGGGAGAGTCTCCCAACGGTCTGCGCCGGGATCATATCGCTCAAAGGGTGGAGATGGCATCTCATATACGAGGCATGCTGGACTTGCAAGATAATAAAGCTTTCCATACGCAGCAATCATGGTTCCAATTGGCTTAGATGACTTGGGGGACCTGAACGTACCCCATGACATACTCTGTGTGTCATAAACATATCCCTTCAATGAGTCGGGTGTCATGGAGGGAGGGGGGCCAAGGGGCATGGGTAGGTTATTTAGCAACATGTATAACTTGGAGGGAGTTGAGGGGCTGCAGATGCTCGCACCGTGCAAGACAGCTTGACGCGAGAACAGCAAACCCTCTTGATCAAAAAACCTGGCCACGGGTTGTTTAGCAATGTGAGTGGCTCCTCCTGTTCCTTCTGATCCTTGACGGATTTCGACTTCATATAACTTGCCCTTATATGGGGGTTGACAAGATCCCGCCAATACAAACACAGATTTATAAGCTCTTCTCTCCTGCCTTATCATGTGCAAGCTGGGCAACAGTAGTAAATGCCACATCAGGACAGAGATTAAAGATTTATTTAGGGGAGTTTAGAATTTTCAGTGCCCAAAGCAACAGGATCAAGAGAAAATTTCAAATTTCCTAAATTAATTATATTTATTTATTCATTTATGTAGGGAGCCTTGTGCACTGGGTACGACCTTTTATTCATTTATGTAGGGAATGGAATCTCATGTAATTTGGTTTGATTAATGTAGTACAGTAGTAGTAGGGTCTTTCTGAGTTATATTTCCTATTATTGTTGTTGGTTGGGTTACAAGGAAAAAACATGGTTTTGCGAAAAAAAATTTGCCAAAGTTAAACTCACAGCTTCAAGAACACAAAGCCAATTCTGGGAAGGTCACTAAAACAAGTACATGCATGATCATCCTCTAATGACTACTCGAAATCGAAATTTAAAACAACTCACAAATCCAACACAATCCAATCCAAACGACAGATAGCAGAAAAAACAACAACAACAACAACAACAAAGCCTTTTCCCACTATGTGGGGTCGGCTATATGAATCCTAGAACGCCATTGCGCTCGGTTTTGTGTCATGTCCAAAATTAGATCCAAGTACTCTAAGTCTTTTCTTAGAGTCTCTTCCAAAGTTTTCCTAGGTCTTCCTCTACCCCTTCGGCCCTGAACCTCTGTCCTGTAGTCACATCTTCGAACCGGAGCGTCAGTCGGCCTTCTTTGCACATGTCCAAATCACCGGAGCCGATTTTCTCTTATCTTTCCTACAATTTCGGCTACTCTTACTTTACCTCGGATATCCTCATTCCCAATCTTATCCTTTCTCGTGTGCCCACACATCCCACGAAGCATCCTCATCTCCGCTACACCCATTTTGTGTACATGTTGATGCTTCACCGCCCAACATTCTGTGCCATACAACATCGCTGGCCTTATTGCCGTCCTATAAAATTTTCCCTTGAGCTTCAGTGGCCTACGACGGTCACACAACACGCCGGATGCGCTCTTACACTTCATCCATCCAGCTCGTATTCTATGGTTGAGATCTCCATCTAATTCTCCGTTCTCTTGCAAGATAGATCCTAGGTAGCGAAAACGGTCGCTTTTTGTGATCTTCGCTAGATTGCTCCGGTCATTAGTGTGGATAAGTATATAAATGGATAGAGATAGGAAAGCAAACACAAGATGTACGTGGTTCATCCAGATTGGCTACGTCCACGGAATAGAAGAGTTCTCATTAATTGTGAAGGGTTTACACAAGTACATAGGTTCAAGCTCTCCTTTAGTGAGTACAAGTGAATGATTTAGTACAAATGACATTAGGAAATATTGTGGGAGAATGATCTCGTAATCACGAAACTTCTAAGTATCGGAGTGTGGTGTCGTCTTGACTTGCCTTAATAGTCTCATAGGTAGATGTGGCATCTTCTCTGGAAGTACTTTTCCTCCATCCAGGGGTGGTATCTTTAACTGGTGGAGAGATGCACAAGGTAATGTATCAATTTCACTTGAAGCTTACTTGTAGTTTCAGGCTTGGTCAAGCGCGATACAAAACCATGTAGTAGGAGTCCCCCAAGTCGCCAAGCTAGGGGGTCTGCTGAAAGAGGTGACAGACAAGGTAAGCAATCAGAGCTCCGACTGATTGTTCACCTTCTCCCCATCTTGCAACAGCATGAAGGATAAAGAGAAGAAAAATGAGAAGAGATGATATGAGATACTTTTGCTTTTGAAGAAGTAACTTTCCACAGGCTTATTCTTGAACTGAGCTGGAGGGTTTTCTGGTTTCCTCCAGAGTATAAGGCCGACTGAAGAATTTGAGGGTCAAAACAAGTCCATCAAATCTAGAGTACGTTCCACCCTGCTGATATGGGATACTTTTGCTTTTGACAGAGTAATGGATGTATCGGCACGTGTGCTGTTACGCTTGTCTCCACATGCTTCCTTGTATCCTTCGCACTTGCCCTATCTGTTCCTCAAGCAGATGCGGAATCTTCCCTGGAAACATAAGATGTTGAAGATGAGTACTCGAGAGCAATGCCAGGTAAGTAATCAGGTAAGGGGTTCCAAGGCAGTCAGTTCCTGGCTGGAAGCTTGATTCCAAGTGCTGACTGATTGCTCTCTTTCTCCTTGTCTTACAGGTAAAAACAAGGCCAAAGGAAAAGACAGGGAAAAAGCATGATATGGGATACTCTTGCTTTTAACCCTGATGATATGAGATATTCTTGCTCTAGTATAGCTTGTTTGCAGAGGTATTATCGGGGGGAAAGAAAGCTGAATATTTCGAAAGGCTTCGTTGGGAGTGCCCTCTCAGATATGATGAAGGGTTGAGCATTTTTGCAGGTCTGCCTGTCCGTTGGGGATGGAGGTCGACATATATAGGAGTCTCCCTAACAACAAGTAGTAATGCTATTCCTTTACCCTGCTTGGTCATAGCACGGTAGTGGGAGCTGTCAGTTTCACATGTTTTAACTCTGTCAGAGCACTTTGAAAAAGTGGTCTGTGGTATCTGGCTCTCGAGATTCGGAGAACGATGCCTCTTCGATTTTTGAGAAAGCAATCATGCTGGGGGTCTGGCTCTCGAGATTCGGAGAGCAGTGTCTCTTCGATTTTTGAGGAAGTAATCATGTTGGGAGTCTGGCTCTCGAGATTCGGAGGGCGGTGCCTCTTCGATTTTGGAGCAAGCAATCTTGTTGGGAGTGTTGTCTCGAATGTGAGTAAAGGTTGGACATGTTTGCTAGTCTACCTTGCCACGAAGCACAAAGGTTGACACACAGGGACTTTCCAATTATCCAGCAATGGTACTGTTCCTTTACCCTCTCTTCTATTTTGAGAAAGTAGTCATGTTGGGAGTCTGGCTCTCGAGATTCGGAGGACGGTGCCTCTTCGATTTTGGAGCAAGCAATCTTGTTGGGAGTGTTTTCTCGAATGTGAGTAAAGGTTGGGCATGTTTGCTAGTCTACCTTGCCACGAAGCAGAGAGGTTGACACACAGGGACTTTCCAATTATCCAGCAGTGGTACTGTTCTTTTACCCTTGTGGGTAATAATATGGTAGCTAGACCTTCAAAATTTATGTGTCTAAACTTTGTTAGTGTTGTTTCTTTGCTATTCTTTTACCTTTCTTGGTCAGAGCGATTTAGTGGGAGCTGCAAGCTTCACGTGCTCAACTTTGGCAGAGAACTTTGGCAAAGTTATCTGTGGTACCCATGAGCTATTGTTGCGTGTGGGAAGTGGGTAATTGAACAGTAAGATTCATGTGCTTTCTACTTCACCAGAAATCTTCGACAGAATGCCCCTAATTTCTGCAAAGCTGAGTGTGCGTGTGACAGATGCTGACAAGGCTAGAAAAGTAGGTGCCTCTTCGATTTCTGAGATCGGCCCTCGTGGTCTCTGAGCAGCCCAGCTTTTGAGAAAGCGAGCGCCTCTTCGATTGATTCGGAGAACGATGCCTCATCGATTTTTGAGAAAGCAATCAGGCTGGGGGTCTGGCTCTCGAAGATTCGGGGAGCAGTGTCTCTTCGATTTTTGAGAAAGTAATCATGTTGGGAGTCTGGCTCTCGAGATTCGGAAGGCGGTGCCTCTTCGATTTTGGAGCAAGCAATCTTGTTGGGAGTGTTTTCTCGAATGTGTGAGTAAAGGTTGGGCATGTTTGCTAGTCTACCTTGCCACGAAGCACAGAGGTTGACACACAGGGACTTTCCAATTATCCAGCAACGGTACTGTTCCTTTACCCTCTCTTCGATTTTTAATAAAGTAGTCATGTTGGGAGTCTGGCTCTCGAGATTCGGAGGACGGTGCCTCTTCGATTTTGGAGCAAGCAATCTTATTAGGAGTGTTTTCTCGAATGTGAGTAAAGGTTGGGCATGTTTGCTAGTCTACCTTGCCACGAAGCACAGAGGTTGACACACATGGACTTTCCAATTATCCAGCAGTGGTACTGTTCCTTTACCCTTGTGGGTAATAATATGGTAGCTAGACCTTCAAAATTTATGGGTCTAAACTTTGTTAGTGCTGTTTCTTTGCTATTCTTTTACCCTTCTTGGTCAGAGCGATGTAGTGGGAGCTGCAAGCTTCACGTGCTCAACCTTGGCAGAGAACTTTGGCAAAGTTATCTGTGGTACCCATGAGCTATTGTTGCGTGTGGGAAGTGGGTGATTGAACAGTAAGATTCATGTGTTTTCTACTTCCCCAGAAGTCTTCGACAGAATGCCCATAATTTCCGCAAAGCTGAGTGTGCGTGTGACAGGTGCTGACAAGGCTGGAAAAGTAGGTGCCTCTTCGATTTTTGAGATCGGCCCTCGTGATCTCTGGGGAGCCCAGCTTTTGAGAAAGCGAGCGCCTCTTCGATTTCTGAGATCGGCCTTCGTGGTCTTTGAGCAGCCCAACTTTTGAGAAAGCAAACGCCTCTTCGATTTCTGAGATCAACCCTCGTGATCTCTAAGCAGCTCCAGCTTTTGAGAAAGCAAACGCCTCTTCGATTTCTGAGCAGGCGCCTCTTCGATTTCTGAAGCTCCGTCGAGTGCAGATTTTTATAGGGGCTGGCATTAAGTTCCAAAGCACACTTGAATCTCCACCAGTAGAAGCTTCATTCTTGCACTTCTAAGATCTTGATTTGTCCGACCTCTTCTCTCTTCAACACCTTTGAAAATGTCTGGCCCCTCCGACCGTCGTTTTGACTTGAACCTTGTTGAAGAGGCAGCCCCGCCTTCTCCAGACAACATATGGCGCCCATCCTTCGTCTCCCCTACTGGTCCTCTTACCGTTGGGGATTCCGTGATGAAGAATGATATGACCGCTGCGGTGGTGGCCAGGAACCTTCTCACTCCCAAAGATAACAGACTACTTTCCAAACGGTCTGATGAGTTAGCTGTTAAGGATTCGCTGGCTCTCAGTGTTCAGTGTGCAGGTTCTGTGTCTAATATGGCCCAACGCCTATTTGCTCGAACCCGCCAAGTTGAATCATTGGCGGCTGAAGTGATGAGTCTCAAACAGGAGATTAGAGGGCTCAAGCATGAGAATAAACAGTTGCACCGGCT